TGATCTTGCGCTTTTTGGGAATTTATTGGGGATTTAATGCGTGGTGTCGTTGGTTTTTGTGTGGGTAAATCTGTGGAAGGTTTTTGGAACTTTGGAAGGAGAAGATAGATTTGGCAATTTTGGAAGTGGATGATTGGAGAGTTTGGAAATTGGGGAGTTTGAAGGTTGGAAAATTTGGGAGGTTGAGAATTTGGGGTTTTGGAAATTGCATAGCGTGAAATTTGGGAGCTTGGAAATTACTAAATTTGACAAGTTGGGGATGTAGGTAGTTGGATGCTTAGAGATTTAGGAATTCGACAATTTGGCAATTTGAGAATTTGGGAAATTGGGAAATTGGAAAATTGAGAAATTGGGAAATTGGGAAATTGGGAAATTGGGAAATTGAGAAATTGGAAGTGTGGAAAATTGGAAATTGGGAAAATTGGGAATTGGGAAAATTGGGAATTGGGAAAATTAGAAATTGGGAAAATTGGAAATTGGGAAAATTAGAAATTGGAAAAATTAGAAATTGGAAAAATTGGAAAAATGAAAACTTGAAAAATTAATAATTTGAAAATTAAAAAATTTGAAAACTCGAAACCTCCAAAACTACAAACACAAAATAATTCTCTCCTCAAAACAGCAAACCCCCGATCTTCTCATCTGCACTTTCTAATCGACCCTATTTTACTCTACCAAAATAAAACCAAATATCATTGAATTCTACCATACCACATTTTACGATACACCATGATTCTGTCGATCTAAGCGTGAAAATATACATTAGTCTGATTTTACAGCTTCCACGAAGCAGAATGAGGTATCCTGAAATTAGCAGGCTCATAGCACGTTCAAGGAAAGAAAAAAAAGGATAGGAAAATTGATCGTAAAAGCCACTCCTATGACAGTCATTATACAATGACTTCATCGTTTTCCAGCACAATATTTACGGCTTCCCATCAAAATTCTATTAGGTGCTGGTTTTTAATAGGAAATCCACTCTTCATTTTCTTTTTGTTCCTCCTTAAGCATTCTCTTAACTTATGGCTCTGTTTTCAGGAAAGTTCAAGGTTTTAGTAGAGGAATTCGAAAATTTCTAAATTTCTGATTTTTCAAATTTATCAAATTTTTATATTGTCAATTTTTAAGTGGAAAATTTCTAAGTCATTGAATATTCAAATTTTTCGAATTTCGAGATGGACGAATTCTCAAATTTCACGAATTCCTAAATTGATGAATTTTCAAATTTCCCGAATTCTCAAATTTTCCAAATCCTCAAATTTTCCGAATTCTCAGATTTTCCAAATCCTCAAATTTTCCGAATTCTCAGATTTTCCAAATCCTCAAATTTTCCGAATTCCAAAATCACCGAAGTCTCAAATTTCACGAATTCCAAAAGCACCGAATTCTCAAATTTCCCGAATTCCTAAATCACCGAATTCCAAGATTTCTCGAATTCCAGAATCACCGAATTCCAAAATCACCGAATTCTCAAATTCCTCGAATTCCAAAATCACCGAGTTCTCAAATTTTCCGAATTCCCAAATTTACCGATTCCCTAAATCACCGAATTCTCAAGTTTCCCTATTTCCAAATTTCCACATTCGGAAATTCCAAATTTCTAAACTTCCCAAATTCGATAAACCCAAAATTCTGACAATCCCAAATTCCCAATTTCCCAAATTCCCAAATCTCCAAATTTCCCAACATTGCTACCCCCTCCCCCAAATTCCTCTTACCCCAAACATCCCAAATTCCCCACAACCCTAAATTTCCAAATTTCCCTCCACCCCACATTATCCTCCCCAAACCCCAATCTCCAAAAGTTTCCAAACCACCCAAAATACCAACACGATACACTCATCACCCACTAAACCACCCTCCCCCT